AGATCGTAACTCGTCGATCAATCACCTGCGGTATTACATAATACTTCAGCATTGCGAAGTCACACTTATCGCGCTCTACTCACTGTTTGAATTATAGTCTTTATGCGTGCTGAATTTCATATGATTCCATTTCGCGATTGACCTAATCCGAGCTGAACAGTGGTCACACTTTGTTCATTTTGAAACGAAAATCTTTTTTTAAATTTTTTAAATTCTTCTTAAAACTAAAACTTTTTAAATTCTATATCATAACAATTTTTACTGCTTAGTGTATGAAGTGAAATTATATATATGTAAATAAATATATATTATGATTATATAATTTTATGTCATCTTAAAATCATAATTAATAAACTTAATATAAGTATGAAATTATGACTAAAAATATTAGAATAACCTTAGAGTTTAAGACCAAATCATTCATTTGATAGACTTATTTTATTATTGTTCCAATAAATGGCTGATATACGCGATCAGTTTTTCATGATTAATTCACATTACCAGTTGGTTCCACGGACACCGTGCTCCCTTCTTCAAATTCCTATTAATTCAGCGATATTAATCAAAGAGCGACTTCTCTCTCGTTATAGCGTGCTTTATTGTTTTCGGTACCCCTGTCCCTCCCGCCTCCTTCCAATTCAATATCGACATACCCTGTGATGCAATTCGTTCATTGCCATCACTACACGCAGTCGACGCACGCACACACACACACACAAACACGCATGTGCTTACGCGTATATGTATTCACGAGCGATATATGCAGCTTGTGAAAACTGCGAGGGATACGCTGACACAAGGAATAAGGATCACAAAGGCCGACATCGTCGTCGTTGTCGTTGCAATCGAGCGAAAGCAGGTGCCGACTTCGAAAGAGCCGAAAAGAGTTCGACGTGCTTGTCGACGGGGGATCTTCAATCACCGTCAATGGTAGCGCGTATAGAACGCACACGCGGCCACGTATTTTCCCTGCTCCTCTCTCCCGCTACTCTTCCGTTCTTTCTTTTTTTATTGTTGTCTTTGCGATCCTTCGCGCGAAGAGACTTGAAAAGCAAAAAGCAACGAAAGCTTGTAAATGGAATACTATTATGATAAATATACAGCAATGAGAATATAGCTGTCGCATAAGTCAATCTGTCCATTGTACATACAACGCGATCTTAAAAGAATTTAATAATTTCAAAGTGTGCAGTGCTTAAAAAAGCAAACAACAACGACAGAAGAATAATCTTATTTCGAAGATTAAAACTTAGATTTAGGTTTTAGAAGTTAAGAATTCAACTTAGAGCGGGTGATAATTTCTAATAATTTAAAATTTGTTTAAATTACTTTACTGTTATAGAGAAAGAAAGGGAAAGAGATGCGAAGCGAAATATTTTCATGCGTGAAATAATCTGCCTTTATTAAACTACGTCCCTTACTCTGAAACAACAATGAGAAACTTTTATTTAGATATTTATCGCTTACATTTGATTAGAGAAATATGACAAGAGCAGCAACTTTCATCGCTAACAACAAAAGCATTAAGGAACGTCAAAAAACTTTCAGCAACTTTTAAGAAATATAGAATCAACAAAAAGTTTCTCGTTTTACATTCTCTAGCTTTACATTGCTGTGCAAAATCGCAGGGTGCGAATATTTTGTCGTTAACTATTTAGAACTCGCCATGCACGAAACGTTCATGTTTCTTCCCTCGCGAATCCTGAGAACTCGAGTTCGAGGAAGACATCAGCTTGGCCACGTTCCCAGGGCACCACAGGGGCCTCCCGCTATTTTCTTAAGCCAGCATCGTGCAAACCGACTGAACAAACGGACGGCCCGCGGTGTGTGTGTCGGTACACGCGAAAGTACGCACGAGTCACTACCACCTTCTCTCGTAACCGCACAGAAACCGCGAGAAAGTTACCCTCATAGACGCACATCGACGTCTATCACCACGGGGCTACTACATGACCCCCACCGTCTTTTCTTAGCGTTTACTCTCCGTCTCTCCCTCTTTGTTCTCGCTCCTTTTGCGATTCATTTTTTATTAAAGTTCCCCTGCACTTCTGTCTTTCTCGTTGTGTTCTCTTCAGGTGCTCCAAAATTATTATCGTCTCTCACGACTGCTGAAATCTTTGTTCCTCGTGGATCAGTCGAGATCATTCACGATGAATGATCTCTTTTCTAGGAACTATATTACAACGCGAATTGGTTGTCGGTGTAAGATAGGAAGAAGTATCTGTCAAAAGGATACTATAATAATAATAATATGATGTACATATCAGATAATTTATTTGGACAATAAGTGATATTAGATCGATATATAAACACAATTAAATAGAGAAATGTCTTTCGATCTAAATAAATTTATATAGATATTCAGTTCTATAAACTGGAGTAATTTGTTTGGTTTATTTATTATCTTCTTGTTTCTCAAATGGTGTGCTTCACAAATAACTAATTTATCTTATTTTATCATTTGAAATGATCGTTTCGGTGAAAATGATAGCATTTTGGGTGAAATTAAAGAGAGTTGCAGAACTGCCGATCGATATTTTGATATGTATTACGTTGCTGCTAAATTGTGTAAGATAATCTCTTCTCTACCAATGTTTCATGTTGCTAAAGCGCATGGAACAAATTATGCGATTACCAAGAGAACTCGCAAAATATCCATTTGGTACAAGAGGATTATCTATTTACACAATGTAATTGAGTGGTGAAAAAATTAAAAAGGTTTTTTATTTCGATATCGCACACAAGTTAAAGGATTATTTAGGATTTTCGGAAAAGATTGAATATAGTGAACAATTTAACAATTTAAATATAAATTTTGATAGAACATTTTACAAGCTTTTGATAGATCAATTTATAAATTAAAAACTGTCGATCTTTCAATTTTTTATTATTGAGAAAAACGTTCTTCAAATCAGTTAGGAAAAAATTGTTTTTTAAAATATTATGAAAAGAGAACTGAAATGCTTCAGAATCTAGATAATTAGAGGACAATCTCGTTTATTAAGAGTTAAAAATTAGGATAAAGATTCGAAAGTAATCGTGCGAAATCCAAATTGTCAAGGAAAAACGAGGTATTTCGCGAAAAGACAGCGAGAAAGAGAGGAAGAGAGGCGGATGGAGGGAAAAAAAAGGAACGGCACGGCGCAACTTCCCGAAAAATTAATATCCCGTGGGAAGGAGGGTGCACCGGCTGTTTGGCTCTCGGGGACGCTTCCGTGCTCGGCGGGGTGCAGAAGAGCGAGAAAACGACGGATGGTGATGGTGCGGGGAGTAGCGAATAGAAAGCCGGGAGAAACTTTGTTTTCCAAAGCGATTCTCTCGCGCTTCCGACAGGGAACGGTGGTGGAGAAGGCCAAAGAAACGCGCAAAGGGATTAGACGCATCTCGCGAGCCAAGTTTTTTTTTCCCCGCGAAGAAACTCGTTTACGTCGAGATTGCTTCGATCGTCATAATGTTTTCGAGCCGAACGACTCGGTGAGATTTAATTGGGTTTGACCGCTTGACCGGATTAATTAATCAGCCGATTACGTTTGTCGAAGTCTCGGCCTCTCGGTAAGGACGTTCATACTTCTTCGGGCTATTTACTCCGGCTACGCTGGAGGGTATCCCTTTGTTCGCCGTCGGACGGTAGCTCAACTAAATTCTTAAGGGCGGTTTGTGTTGCCGGTGGACCTTAATTAAAAGTTCCCGCCAACCTGGCTCGCATAATTACGCTCGATATGAAGTAGCTCGTAGCACAGCTGGCGCAAGTTGAAATTGCGAATTTCATTGTTTCCAGAATGCTTCGTCAATTACTTTATACAGTCTTTTACATGATTTACTTTAAGCCGAATGAGATAATGCCACAACGGTCTAAGCTGGATCACGGGTGCTTCTAAACAATTGCGTGTGAATTTATTTATTTGATTGCGCGCCGAATTTTTTTCAGACTTGAAACGCAATAAACTATCACAGTAATATCACGAGTTAAATTGACTAACAATTTTACAATTATTGATGCTGTTTACGCATCTTATATCGATCTTAATCATAGTCATAAGAAATCATAGCTTTTATCTTATATATTTATCTTACTTAGGCATGTACGTTTTTATTATAATAAATTCAATGCGTAAATCGGTATAAAATATTCCATGTGATTTTGTCATATATAGTAGTATACATGTAGTTCCAGAAAGAAAAAGGAATTCTTGCAACACAGAGAGAACGATTGTTGAAAAATTAAAAAATTTAGCTCGTCACGAAGCTGAGAATAATTTTGTTAGACCATTAAAATTTTTAGATTTTTCAGGAAAATCGTTCTCTCCGTGCAGAATCGTAAAATTACATATATCTCCAATCCTAGACAAAGTCGTAATCCAAGTGTGTGAAACGTGTGAATATTTCACGAAGATTTTCGTATTCCTTCAAAATTGTGGGCCACTGGCAAAGAACATCCAAGACGCCCGCCGATCGTCACAGTAAAGAGGTAAGAAGAGGAAGAGTTAGAGAATGCCGGGGAAAGAGAGGAGGTCCGTGTGGGTTGGAACGCCGGTTGTAGAATTTTGGGAGAATTCTGGAGGATTGGTTGCGTTGGAGTGAACTTATGAAACGCCCAACCCTGTTACCGGTTGCGCCAAGCGAGATATTAAATTTCTGGAATTTTGCGGTTAGGCACGTCTACATGCCGACGGGTCTCTCTCTCTCTGTTTTTCTCTTTTCTCTCTCTCTCTCTCTCTCTCTCTCTCTCTCTCTCTCTCTCTCTCTCTCTCTCCTTTCTCTTTATCTTACTAATACGTCCACAATTATATACTGAAGAAATTCGTCCAATTATAATCGCTGTGGAAAAATCGGTTTGTGTTGAAACAACTTTCGCATATACGAGAAGAATTTCCGTGGAATTATTAATAATCATCGATCATTCAGTATCATTATTTATCCTCGTGATTTCTTTAGGAGTTTTTGATGACGTGTAATTTAAGCATGGTAAAAAATTTCGTTACCATCAACTTTATTGCGTCAACAGCTTAGCCTAATTGTCACTACACACTAATTTATGCAACATGTACAATGCAATTTACAAGGGTCGTCACGTCGGGTTATGTTTGGTTCACTGGAAAGTAAGGAGGAATCTGGAGTCTGCTGTCGGTGCCTGATAGTTAGCTGCGTAGGCGGTGTAGGTTGTACTCAAAGGATTAGCCAGAGGCACCACGCGTGAGGGGTTGTCGTACTGATATTGCACTTGCGCGGCTACGGGTTCAATCTCGAGTTTCTGTGGTTTGGCATCTGCGGATGCAACCGCGGCGACCGAGCTGACCGGGGCGACGGACAATTGCAAGCCGGTCGGCACGATCTCCAGCTTTTGCAAAGGTGCGTACGCGTAAATCGGACCGCGAAGGGGCTCCACATTGTCGGCGCGAATCTTGGCGAAGTACTTCATAGCCTCGACATTCTGACGGCTGATGTACCGCACGCGCTGCAGACGACCGTCGGGAAGTGCTACGTAGTATTCTCCTGATTGCTGAGGTTGCTTCTCATCCACATCCTCGTCCTCGAGCTCGTTTACTGAATTCACGGGCTCGGACTGAAATAACATTGGAATTTATTTTGTCGTAAATTGCTGTCACTGGTGACTTGTACATTGAAAGAGGAAGTAAAATGTAAATATTTCTATTATAGAAAATACTTAAAATGTTTTGTTCTGAGATAAATATGTAACATAAAAATATTTTGTTTTGTAAAATCAAATATATTACAACTATAATAGTTGTAATAAAAAAATTGTTTAAAAGCTTCTTATAATATCAATTATGTTATTATCTGCGACACGAATCTTATACAGAGAGATTATTTACTAAATAAATCTGTAGAAATTATGTATGTTATATTATGTATAAAGCGAATAATTTCTCGTTTTTCGGTAAAACATTTTCCAGCAAGAGGAAATTTCTCTGTTTTTTCCGATATCCTGCCAAACAAGACGTAGGCTCTCGCAGACGACCTCGAATCACGAGTGAATGCATTATGGGTTGTGTCACGTCAGTCTTCGAATTTGGTACGGACACACACGTGCACGAGACCCGCGATCGAAAGTAAACGATGCCTCGAATACTAATGTTGAACGGGAGAAACGATGAGAACAAGCAAGCGCCGAAGATTGAAAAAGAGGAGCCTCAGTGTGCGATTTAAATTCCGCGGAACTGTCTTCGCTTTTGTGTAGGTTCACATGCCAATTCAATGGACCAGCGCGTTTTCTCTCTCGAGCAAGATGATAAATCTGTGTTACATAACGTTATGTAAAGACGAAAAATGCGCATATTCGAAAAAATTTATTCCAAAATTGAATGAAATTGAAATTGAAATTTTTGGCGATTACAAGTTTTTCAATAAATTTTAATTGAGATCGCGATTAATTAATTTATCTCTATGGACAAAAAAATATAAAAATTTTCTTCATAAATCCTATTTGTATTTAGCGTATATATACGAATAAAACAGTAAGTTAATTTTCACAATCGGTGAAAGATGTTATATCTATCAAATTTGCAATATACTCATATATATATATATATATATGTTTATAAATTTTATGGATTCGAAGTTCTTTATAACAAAAATTTAATAACAACTACTTTAGCTTAATTTTTCATATTTCACTAATTCCAAAAAAAAAAAGTTCGTATTTTATTTACCTCAGATTCAGTGATGCCTTGAACAGTAGATACTTCTTCCTCTTCGGTGGTGTTAGGAGTCTCAGTTGTTGTAGACTCTTCCGGTTCTTCGTATTTTCGTTGAGGATTTGATGATGCTCCGTATTGTTGCTGAGGCGCGATTGGTGCTCCATATTGTTGCTGAGGCACGATTGGTGCTCCATACTGTTGCTGTGGCGTACTTGGTGCTCCATATTGTTGCTGTGGCGCACTTGGTGCTCCATATTGCTGCTGAGGTGCATTTGGTGCTCCATATTGCTGCTGAGGTGCATTTGGTGCTCCATATTGTTGTTGAGGTGCATTTGATGCTCCATATTGTTGTTGAGGCGCGCTTGGTGCTCCATATTGTTGTTGAGGCGCACTTGGCGCTCCGTACTGTTGCTGAGGCGCGTTTGGTGCTTCATTCTGTTGAAGTTGTCTTTGAGGAAAATTAAAAACGGCTCCCGCTGGTTTCCAGCCAGACGCGGGATAAGGAGCGGCCTCTTCTTGCTGCTGAGCGAAGTAATATTGTTTCTGTTGCTGGTATTGTTGACGGTATCTCGGTGGCTCAGCGAAGACCGCGGTAGCCAAGAGGACGATACTGACGAAAACCTGTTTTCGAAGATTATAATAGCTGATTGAATATATATCATTACAATTAAATTAATTTAAATATTATTCGCCAAAAAATTGATCGTGGAATCTTTTCACGCCATCAGAAATAATTCTAAGAATCACAGATAAAAAATAAAATAATAAATTTATGACTACCTTCATCGTTGTACGATGATTGTTAGCCGGTTATGTTGACGAGCTGACTGAATTCACCGTCTACCGCCAGTGGATTATATACACGACGTCTCGTATGCGTTCTGCATGTTTAAGAAGGATTATACCCTATGGCCAGGGTAGCGACGCGTTCACCGATCGGCGGGTGACATTGGCCTCCTAAAAGAACCTGATGAATCCTCGATCATTGTTGGCTCATCATCCGGCCGCCCGCGCGCGCGTTCACCTTCGCCTTTGTCGGCGCGAGCGGACGTCTTTTCAACAAAAGCGGCACTCTTTAATACTCGGTGTACGACCGACTTTTTCGTCCCCCTCAGCTTCAAACTCCACCTTTCGCTCTTTTTCGCACGTTGTGTTTGTTCCGGGCGCACGAAGCGAAAGAAGTCGCGCTTCTGTCCTATCGACGATTAAATTTAAAATGGATTGAACGCGTGTTTGCATTCGCTACACCAGAGATTCATCACTTTTGCCGCGAAAACGGTGAATGCGCAAAATTGTTCTTTCAAAGTATATTTGTATAATGTTTACTGAACTTCTTTAGGTTCTTTAGATTGTAGTAAATTGTTATGAAATTAAGTTACATAAACATTTTTTAAACGAAACAAGTTAAGCTTCCATTAAAAGCAGCCTCACATCGAAATCAATAAAAGCATACAATTTTTTTTATTATTCATGTCAAGTTATTATTAATATCTCGAGATATCTTTATTCAGACACACTCATTATAATTTATAAAATGAGCGCAAGTTTACACGGAATACATCCACATTGCTAAAACGTTTTGTATAGAACTTCAGTTTCTAAATTTTAAGAAAAGCCTTCGACTCATCTAATCCATCATTAATGTTCTCATCCGCCCGTGACCGATGATCGAGTGTTTAACACATTTCACGGAGCAAGGCCGTGTTATGCGACGATTACGTCGTCGTAATTTTAACTCTGGCTCGTCATGCATGGCATGCGTGTCGTATATGTTGATCATTCCACGCACGGATTTCGCCGACGAATCGTAGCGACGCGACGCGTGACGATGATTCGTGCTAATTTATTCACTGGCGTACCCAATCTGACCAGCATCCGAGAAATAAGGAACGCGAATTGTTCTTATGCGTTCACACTCGGGACGATCGGAACGATCAGGGTCGCACAGTCATTCGATCGATTGTTCGCGACAATAGTTTGGAATTTATAATGATCGGTTCACTCTCGCCTCACCTCGAGATACGCGTACGTGCGTAAAACGAGCTCTCACATTGATGTCACATTGTTTATGCGACAGGAGACTTCTAATCGGAACTCTATGTCGATTTTCGAATAAACCAAATCCATTAAACTAGCGTCTAATAACACATTCTGAAGATTTGATGTGATCCAAGATAACATTTTGTAGTTTTATGAATATATTCCGAGAAAAATATAGTAGCACTTGAAATCTAGATTGACCGTTAAAAGTTTTAGGGTACATAAAAGAAACTTGAACGGTAAAATGTAAGCAATAAGAAAATTAACATGTTGGATTGGTTACATTATGACCAGTCTTTTCTGTTGATTGGCCAATTTGCTTAACGCTTACGTTTTTTTGTGTGCCATGGCCCTTATTTCATAATATATTATGTTAGTTGGTGACGTATTTTATGTTGGTAATACTCGCTACATTTCGCTCTGCTCCGCTGAGAAAGGAGACTTGACATGCATCAAACCTAACTCGTTATTAACACCCACGGAATTTCACTTACAATTAGAATGAGTCAGAATTGGGTTAACAAATTAAACCTATATAAACATGATAACATTTAATTTGTAGAATAGCTCCTGGATCCTTTTAAAGTGTGTTACGAGCTGATCCAATAAAGGTTATTGCTTTCAAATCTTTCCGTCGTACAAATAGGCCTTTATAATAAAATACGTTCCTCCAAAAATTGTGCCCGTGCCCTTCGAGGGATTCCACGCAGAAGATGGTGGAGCCTCGATTCGTGGTCACGGAAATCGCGAAATGCGAACAACTCTCTCTGGTGCGACGTGAAATAACGCGGCCTGTAGCGGGGTTGACGGGGGGGGAGGGGGGGGGCCACGAGGGGAGTTGAGGGTACACGAGGGGGGCCGATCACGGTGGTAGTCGCGCCGGGCCGAGAGCGGCAAAGGAGAGGGACGGCACGACGGCGGCGGCGGAGGGGTGGGCCCGGGCAAAGCAAATTATTCACACTCAAACGACTCCATTTCAATATCGGGCCGAAGCCCAGGGACAAAAGAAGGGCGAGATGCCTGTCTCCCTCCTGCTTTCGCTTTGCGCCACACTGCTGCTGCTGCTGGCTGCTCACCGCTGCCCGCCGCTGCTCTGGTACCTCTGTCTGCAGCCTGCAGGCTTAACTCTCTTTTCCTCTCTCGCTCTGCATTTTCTCTCTCTCTGTCGTGACCCTTTTCTCTCTCGGTCTCTTTTTCCCTCTTTTTGGCTCTTTCTCTCCCTCCATTCTTCTCTCTCTCTCTCTCTCTCTCTCCTTCCCTCTTCCCCCCTCCCCTCTCTCTTTCTCTCTCGTTGCTCTTGCTGTATCCTGTGTTCTTTTCTATTCTTGCTCTATCATCTAACCCTGACGGCACGACAGTGGAAAACACCGGAGAATATCGCGGAATCGCGATCTTCTGACTTTTCGCACCGAGAGCTTTCGCGAGCTTTGATTCTGTCTCTCGATGATTACCGTGTATACCCCTGTACAGTATTCGGTAGTACATTGTTAGAAATACATATGACAACGTTCTCGAATGTGTTAACTCAACATACATATTTTTCATAAAGCGTTTTAGAGTGTAAAATGTACGTTGTGACGAATTGTCATACAAATCTATTAGAAAAAGCGATTTCGTTTTTTTTACATTATTTGAAATGCAATCAACGCGGATTACAGCATGTGTGTTGTATACAGGACATTATTTCATCACATATACATATATATATGCACGTGCTTCATTAAAATTGATTTGTTCGTGCACGACTATCTTGCTTTGAAGCTTGGTTTAGAGCGTCGTCGTCCGTTGTATTGTACTCTATATCATTATAAGTATATGAAATATTTATATAAACAAAGTATATATAGTATTATACATATGTATAGTGAAATTTTTTTCTCTACAAATATTGCTAATTAAAGCAATTGGCGCGTTTTACAATAGTCCAATAGTAAAAGAGCACACATATTTCAACGAGACGAACTCATAAACCGCCGAGCAATTTGCAAATTCGTGTTCTTAAAAAATATCGGAATAGCAGTCAAAAAGTCGGAACTTCGGTTACACGAGTGTATGAAAATAGAAAGATATGAGAGAGTGGAAAGAAAGAGGGACGAAGAAAGAGAACGCCTCGCTCAGGTTTGAGTCCCGTAATTGAATACATTTAAGCGCGGGAGGGACGTTTGTGCGGATTCTCGGCTTACAAGATCCCCATGCCGAGGTAACGTCTGCGAGTAAACTGGATTAATCGTCTATGAAGGGAGACCGTAACCCCGCCACATTCGTTTGCAATCAGATCCCTCCAGGGAAGGCGAAACAACACCGTTCGTTATAGCGCGCGGTCTTGTTTCCACTGCAATTTTACATCGATCATCGGCAAACAGATAGGGAGAGATCATCGGGTTGCAGGCGTGCTGAAATGCTCCACATTTAAGTTAAATCAACAATGTTTCGGTGAGAACAACACGACGGGAAAAATATGTAGGGAGCGTAAAATACGTTCTTTTTTTTTTTAAATTTTTTACGGTATTATTTATAAATGGTAGATTTTAAAATCTTCTTAATCTACAATAACCTGAAAATGTTGATATTAATCTTAATTAAGAATCTTTATAATAATCTAATAATCAATGAATATTATTATAGAAACGAGATCAATGTATGTGACTGAATATTTGTTAATTTTATTATATAAAATATTTTTTAGATTTCTTAGAATGGAAAACCAAAGTATCATTCTAAAAAAGAAACTAATTATGTAGTCTTGAACCCATCTTTCCAAAGAGTTCTTACTCTTTCCTATAGAATCCTTTCTTAGAAAGCCAGACCTAAAAACATAACGAGATCTCACGAATCCGCTATAAAAGTGTTGCAATCAGACACGATGTCTGTTACGTTCGCATTGACTTACAATGACTGGATTCGTTTTTGATCCACGATATGTCTCCGAGGAAATAAATGAGCCAATCTGCACGCAATCTGCGTGCCCTATCTGGACGATTACGTGTTCAAAGGATTCGTGAGCGAATCTAAACGAATATCTTCTTTTTCCGATGACGAATTTATCGATGATCTAACATAAGTCCACTTGATGCACAATGTGCGTCTACTAATCCTAATTTGCTCTGATTACTATATTTTTTGTTTATTCTATCTTCAACTTTATTTTTTACATAGAATAAAAAGAAAAGAAAAATTAACCGATTAACTAATTTTAATAATTCAAATGAGTATTTTTGTCAATAAATTCTTCGTAGAGCTTTAAGATGTTTATTGGTATCATTATTGAACTAAACGAACTTGTGTTATTATTATTTCAACTTCAGTTTATGATTACGTCTCAAATTCGATAGTATTCGATACATAGTTTAGATAACTGAAAATATATAAAATTTGTACTATAGATATTATTAAGTATCGACTGTATTTAACCTTTCTCCACCTATTTATTCATACAGCCGTCTAGTTAACTCATTATTGTTTACGAATAATTAATTAAGAATAATATAATCGAGAACCTAGATAGGGGATTTCAAAGAAATTTCAATACAATTTGTTTGCTCCTTAAGAGTTTACAAGTAATAATAGCTGTAAATAGTAACAGTTATATAAACATCACGGAAAATTGTTTCAATTACACATCGTAATAGACTTTGAATGCTTCCACCCACTTATGTCCTTTGAAGCTTTAAATTTCTCATTATCGATCCATCAAGATTGTCAGAGCTAAACCGCGGCGATTTTATTTGCCGCGGGATTTTATTTCGTCAGCAGCACCCTTGGGACATGC